ATATATAAATTTTAATTTTGAGACAGAGTCTCTGTAAATTGCCCAGTCTGGCCTTGAGCTTGTGATCCTCCTGCCTCAGCCTCCTGAGTAACTGGAATTCCCGGCACATGCCATCAGACCTGCTTTCTCAGTTTTAATATCTAAAGGGCCACTTATTTCTGAGTACCACTCATTGATTTCAAGTTGGTCTACATTCTGCTAGTTCCTATTCAAACATATCATATTTTAGATATCATCTTAAGATGTCTCTGTGAATTTTTTCACAATGATTAATACCATATTTTCCCTTTATTTTAGTCAATGATATAAATCAAAAACAATTTCCTGACACTATTTGAAGATTCAGTGAAGGGTAAGATTTATAATGCTAAAGTAGAAGCTGACCTAGTTTCTATAAAATTGATATGCCCTCAGCCTTCTTTGTCTAAACTTTTCTTCAATCTTGTTATGCTGGCTAGCTCTGTTTCACACCATCTCTGGATGACCAGTTATCTCTTTATTTTATTGTAGAAATGCAGTTACACCCTCATCAGCATAATCATTATTGGCTCAGATTACATATTTTCCTTAAAAGATATCTGACTGTCAATCAATTACTTCCATTCTCTAAGGACAAGTAGCACATACCTGTAATCCCAATGACTCAGGAGGCTGAGGCAGGAGGATCTCAGGTTCAAGGCCAGATTCAGCAATTTAGCAAGGCCCTAAGCAACTTGGCAAGACCCTGTCTCAAAAATTTCAAAAAAGACTGCGAATGTAATTCAGTGGTAATGCACCCCTGAGTTTAATGCCCAGTACCAGCCAACCAACCAACAAATAAATAACAACAGTCTTGTGAAGATAGAACCATTTTTACAAGATTAAAAGAAGTGCATGTGCCTTGTATAGAATAAGAGCTGAATCAAAATTAGCTATTGTTCATACTGTGATAACATCTTCATTCTTCAATTGCTATAGGGGTTATAGATGATATCAGTATGTCCTAGGAATGTAAAGCTTCTAATTTCTGTCTACTTCTCAGTATATTCCCCTCTTTCTTAGATTCATATTTATTTTCCTGTTCTTTTATAAAATAAGATAGATAAATATACTAGTTGAATCTTTTCTGAGAAAGCTTCTTTCAATTTTGCAGATGTACAAATATAATCACTTAATCATGAAATATTTATGAGTTGTTGTGGTTTGTGAAAGCAAGAAATCATTTTGCTTTTTTAGAGAATAAAATAATTGGGTAAAACAAAAATTAAGTTCCTAAAAGATCGCTTTAAAAGGGAAACACAGCTTCATTTAGTTTGAAATTGAAATTCTCAAATTACCTTGAAAAATCTTATAAAATGAAGTGTTTACTTTTTCTGCATCTATGGTTGAAACATCTCTTCCAAACAATCTCTTTCTCACTTATTGTTCACTGACATCATAGTTCCCAAAGGAAATTGCCTTTGGTCACAACTCAAAAGGATCAGGTTGTTTAAAATAGGCAAGTAAAAGTAGGAATAGTGAAAATGATTTGGAATCACAAGATGATAATTATTTACAGCTATACATTTGTAAGAAGCCATTTTTCTCTTAAAACTTTGATGATTTAAATTAATGGTGAAATTATAACCTGTCAGTGGTTTTTTTTTTTTAAGTGGGAAGTGTGTACAAAGTCTATCTCACCATTTATTTATGGATTTGCTTTTGTTTCGAGTCATTTGCTATCAAAGCCAGCATTGAAGCAAACATCTCTGCAGAGATTTTTCTGTTTATACCTCTGAGTATCTGGGAAAAATGCTGAGAAATGGGCTGAAATGTTTGCAATCTGAGCTATTTATTTTCTGAATCAATGCTTGGGCTTTGCCAACTCATACAATTGATCCCTTTAATCTGTTTTCCAATTAAGTGGTTATTCTCTTAAAATCCTATACCCCTGAAAGTACCCAATTAGTTTTCTAAACAAATCCAGCACTTTCACATCCCCTTGCTTTTGCTTGGGCTGTTACCTCAGTTCCTTGAGGAAAAATCTTCAGCAACTATTGTAACTGAGGCTTAGTGTTGCCTCTCCACCATTCCCCCCCACCCCCAGATTCTTAATCCCACATTCTTGGCAGAAACATTAGAGTGTTTTTCTTTGCTTTTCTTAGTGTCTTCTACTGAACTCCTCTACAGCACTTACAGTTCAGTTCTTAACTTATTATGGCAAGTGTAGGAGAGAAAAGTAATACCTTCCCTTATCCCTCACAAGGATCCTAGTTGGTATCCCTATAACAAGAGACAGATTAACAACAGAAAATGAAAATATTAAGCTTTCCTTGACATAGGCCTCTAGAAATAAAGACCCTGGTAAAATTTACTATATTTTTATGTTTAGGTTCAATGAAGAATGAAAAATTACAAAGAAGCTGGGTTGGGTGGGATTAAAAAAAAAAAAGTATGGGGGCTGGGGCTCAGTGTTAGAGCACTCACCTAGCACATGTGAGTCCTTGGGTTCGATCCTCAGCAACACATAAAAATAATTAAATAAATAAGGGTATTGTGTCCAACTACAACTAAAAAATAAATATTAAAAAAAGTATGATCTAATGATAATAAATTAGAGGGAATATAGCAAGGCCTATTTGTTCGATTCTCTTGGCCTCTCTGTGGAGACTCCATTTCTCTAGGTGTGGGATAGTGCTATTTTCACGTGGGGCTCTTATAACAAGAGAAGTGGATCATAAAGTTCCTTTTTGATCTACTCTTCCACAGTAAGGCAAGGGAAGGGCAGAGTGACCTCCATGGTGCTGCATTTTGGGGTGGTATCTCCTGAGCCTCAACACAAGCAAATTGATAAGATGGAGATGGACCTGCCCACTGTGTCTGGGCTGGTGGTCTGCCACTCGGGTCCTTGGGCTCCAGAAATAATTTGTGATTTGTTTTCTCCCTCCCTCATTTTTTCTTTCCTATTTTTTTTTTTGTGGGAGAATAACAACATAATAATGTGAGTGATTAACAAGAAGAAAACAAATTATATCAGTAATTATTCAGAGTGTTAGAATAAATTAAACTTAAATAGTGGCTTCTGAGTGCTTTAGCAAATGAATATGATTAACCACTGTATGTGGTTACTGATTGTGTGCTTTACCACACTAAGTATGTTTCTGTATATGTATACCTAATATATGCTCATATTTAAATATTCTGTTATGGAAATGAATCACTGACTCCAGCAGACCCATTACAAATGAATTCCTATCTCAACTAAATTGAGTTGTAAACCTCATAGTTGATTACCCCAAAGAGCTCATTTTAAATGCATATGACTCTTAATGGCTCCAATGGAAGAGAGTCCTTCACTCACTCCTGATGAATGTTACAACTTTTAATTGAAACAAGGGCACCTAAGGTATTAAGGTTATATAAGATGCTGGTGAAGGAGTTATAACTTAATAAAATTATAACTTAAATATTCTGGTCAAAATGATTTTCTAAAATTAGATTAGAAAATGGGATGGGGCAAATGAATTCCTTTCTACAAAGAAATATGATTGTAAGTCTTTACCTTCATGATGTATTTTTACTAATTTTAGTTTTCTGTGCTTATAGTTAATCTTAGAAGCCACTGTTTTGTCATCAAATGCTTCTGTTGCTATAGATGACATCAGTGTATCCCAGGAATGTGAAGTTTCACATAAGCCACTCCCAGGGGGCAGCATACAAAATAAAGGTAAGTTTTTTTCTTGTGATGATTGAAATTTTAAGCATAGAATTCAACAGGCCTTCTTGAAATCAAAATATTAAATATATTAGAGTCAATAATACTTATTACAGGTTGTATAATATATGGTATGTCCTTAACACTCTAAAATATGCATTTTGTAAAAGAAGGTAACAATATATCACTAATACTTTAATCTCTCTTTTAATACTATAGAAGACTAATAATATAGATTCTAATCTTATAGTTAAAATTGTCACATGAAGATTTTTGATTATTAAAATTATGAAGAATTATAATTACTTTGCATGTTTTAAAGATACTCCTATAAAAATTCACTTTTCCATTAATTGTATTCTGTAGTTTAAATGAACATGTAATGAAATTCATATTTCAAAATCTCCCAGATATTTAAAAAAATGGCTCAAAGCCAGCCAAAATCTTAAAACTTGAC